AGAGAGAGAGAGAGAGAGAGAGAGAGAGAGAGAGAGAGAGAGAGAGAGAGACAGAGAGAAATGCAGTTGAGATCGCGCTGTCAGGACTGGAATGTATGTAGCTGCATAAGCGGTCTGAAACTTTTTTTTTTCTTTTTTTTATTATTGTTTTTCGTGCCCCCACCCACTTCCTTTGAAAAACATCGATGGAGGGGGTGCCCCTGCCCCTTCCCTCCCCCCCACAACCCCAACTTGTCGAACCAACCCACATCCCCCCTCCCACCCAGCGTTTCTACCCCACGCATGTTGTAAACGCGCGTTTCACTGCGTTCAGTTTCTGAACGCTGAACCCGCAATCAATGAACACGAGGTTACACAGTATGTTGGGCATTTTATTTTATTTTTCTTTCCCCATATGACACTATTGTAATGAACCCAGTCTGTAAGATACTCGGCAGATGTCGAAATACAAAGTAACTCCACTCTCAACAATATCCCCAATAATCATGAATGTGATCTCTGATACAATGTCTCGTTTCTAGTAGATGAAGAGAGTGGAGGGGGAACAGATCGAGTAGAAGGTGGAAGAGAATGTAATCATCAATGACCACATAGAGAGTAGCCCAACATTTCCCCACTCCTTCTCTGGGCTTCTTCTCGTATCCAGTAGCGGGCCTCGCAAATCGTGATCACATTGAAGTGCCATATGGCACAGTTCTCTCGTGAAGACGTTGGAGACAATCAACAGTGCACAGTATCGACATCAACCTCAGGTAAGTATCCCGATCCTCCTCAATAATCCACAAATCCCGATACCCCTCCTTGTCCCATCCAGTCACCCAATGTAGACAACGTGGCCAAAGCCACATCAGCGATGAAGATAGGTGGCATGCGCCACATCAGCAATGAAGACAGGTGGCATGCACCACATCAACAGAGGTTGGCGCTCAGTAGAGAAGGTGCCAACATGCTGGCTCAGTCCTGCGTCGTCGTCCACAGTGCCAGCACATAGCCAGCGTCAAGCCAGCGTCCATCTAGCATCAAGCCAGCGTTAAGGCAGCATAGCAAGACTGAATGTTGACCCCCTGGAGGCAGTGTTTTATGTAGTGATTGACTGACTATACCTGCCTCAGGTCGCCCACCCATGGTGGCCAAGATTGACTCACAGTCGAGGGCCTGGATTGTGTACAGTTGTAGACTTGCACTTGGTCCTGATGCGTTCTTGGTACCTGCATACAAACAAGTGCGTGTGTCTGACCGGCGGCCTGAGCTGGGTACATACAAACTTTGACTCTTGGCCCGCTGGCAGTTGACCAAAGTCAACTGTCAGGCGCACAGGCCCTGGGTCAACAAGGGAATTTCTCCCCCTGGCCTTCGTGGCCTCAGATCGAGGTCGCGACCTGTGTGTGGCATGAGGGCCACTTCGGGGCATATCAGGCGGGGTATTGCATTCCTGCCGGCCCAAATTTCGAGTTTCATCGTAGAAATATATTATCTTTCTCTTAACCCGTGTTTATATGCGGCAGCAATATATGGAGCAGTAGGTGACAATTATTTCTTAGTGAACCATCTAGCCTTAGATGGAGGTTGAGACTTGAACTTTACCTTGTACTACTTCTAGTCTTCCTCTGCCACCTCTAGAGAAGTAGCCATGTTCCAGAATCTTTTCAACTTCATATCCTCCATTCATGGAGGGTGGGAACATAGATGGTCTGTTAGGAAACTCATCTCCCTCTACATACGGTAATAGTTTAGACGCGTGGAAGAGGATAGGTATTTAGGTGTGGGGTACATCAATCCAGTAGGAAGGTCCATTTGCATCCTCAATCACCTTGAGAACTTCCCAGGGTTGAGATACATTTTTTTTACCTTCCTGAAACTGTGATGGCCGACGTTGTTTGTTGGCCTTTTCAATCATCTACAATTGGGATTGTTGTATATTTCCCTTGACCTTTTTGATATCCTCTTCATATAAAACTGCAAATTCACAAGTACCTGGGGGTAACCTTTGAATCTGGTCCCGGGTTAAAGCATCAATATGACGTCGAGGTGTCCAACCTTTATGTAGTGCATTAGGTGTTCTTCCTGTAACAACATGCACATTATTATTATATGCACTACCAATCTTAGGTAAGTCTGATTGGGTTGTACATACATGCACAAAAGTTGTTGGCATAGACGGTTCATTTGTTCACTTTAGCCATTCATTTCGGAATGTCTCCTTGACGACATGGTCAACCTGGTGCTATAGACTTCCATAAACTTTTGTCATTGCATACCTGTAAACCTGACATCCCTATCAGAAACAATGGTTTTGGGGAACCCATATTCCGATACCCATCGCATTTGAAATTTATGGATGACTAGTTCAGTCTTAGCTTCACCAGGTAAATGAATGAACATAGCATATTTCGAGAATCGATCTACAATGACCATTACCTGACTGTTGCCGTTTCGGCTCTTAGTAAGACTCATGAAGTCTATGGAGATAGACTCACCTGACTCACTTGGTATACATAGTGGTATCAATAGTCCCAAGGGATTCTCATGTGAGGGTTTGTTTCTCTGATAGACAAGACAAATCCGCACATAGGCTAGTACATCCTTTTTCATTCCTTTCCATTCAAAGCATTATTTTACATCGACATACGTCTTCTTAAAACCAAAGCGTCCATCAGCATAATGACATTCCCCAATGATTAAACTTTTGATCTGTTCTTGGTGAGGAATGCACATTCTTTCTTCGGTTTTATCCACAAAGAAGAGTAGACCATCAGTCATTCGATACTAAGGAAATAGTTCATGGTTTTTCTATAGGGTCCCAATGATAGGACTCCAAATAGGATCGGTTACATAACTCTTTTGTATTTTTTTTTCTTTATGTTGATTCTCAATATCGAGATAAGAGACAATGATCCCAAAGAAATCTGCATGCCTGGACAAAGCATCCGCAACAACATTCGACTTTCCTTTGATTGTTTTCAACTCAAAGTTAAAGGTATCAATGAAAGCGGACCATCTTACTAACTTATCAGAGAGTCTCGGTTGAGTCTTTATCCATTTCAGAGTAGAGTGATCTGAATAGACAATGAAGTGTCTCCCTAAGAAGTAGTGTTTCCAGTTGTCTAGTGCAACAACCAAGGCATACCATTCCCTCTCGTAGGTGGAGTTGACCACTTTCTCTGACGAAAGTCTCCTAGACATAACCTCAATAGGTCTGTATCCCTTACCACCATCTTGTTATAGCACAACCCCAATTCTGTACCGCCTCGCGTCAGTCGTGACAATGAAAGGGAGAGAAGGATCGACAATCTTTAAGACAGGGTAGTGAGTCAGTACATGTTTTAACATTTTGAACAAGGATTCACAATCTTTGTCCCACAACCAAGGTTTTTCTTTCTTCAATAGTCTTCTCATAGGCGCAACTATTAAAGAGAAGTTCCTTACAAACTTTCTGTCGTAACTAGCGAGTCCTAGAAAAGACCCGAGCTTAGTGATAGTCTTAGGTTGGGGCCAATCTCTGATTGTTGTTCTCTTCTTCTCTTCGGACCTTAGTCTCTCTTCATTCACTATATGCCCTAAGTATAACACTTCAGGCTTAGCGAACTTAGACTTCTTAGGATTCAGTTTGAAGTTGCCCTCGCACAACTTCTGAAGAACCATTGGCAGGTGTTTTTTGTGATCCTTCAGTGTCTTACTATACACGAGGATATCATCGAGATAGATAACTACGAACTGATCCAGCCATTAACGGAATAGTTCATTCATAGACCTTTAAAAGGTAGCAGGAGCATTAGTCAACCCGAAAGGCATAACCACGAACTCGTAGTGACCATACATAGTTCAAAAGGTTATCTTGTGTTGATTTTTAGGAGCCACCTCGATCTGGTGGTACCCTGATTTAAGATCAATCTTACTAAAATACCTGCATCCCCGCAATTGGTCCAACAAGTTGTTAATGCATGAGAGTGGTTCCGTGTTCTTGATAGTGACGACATTCAACCCACGATAATCAATGCATCTTCTAATTTCACCTTTCTTTTTGGGCACGAATAAGACAGGAGCACCATAAGGAGATGATTTGGGGGAATTCATCCTTTCTCAGTGAGTTTTTGCAGTTGTTTTCTAAGTTCCTCAAGTTCCCCAGGAGACATGCGATAGATGAGACCCTTGGGAATCTTACTACCGGGAATGATCTTAATGGTGTGCTTGATAACACGCTCAGTGATTCCCGTTGGCTCAGTCTGCAAGTCCTTATACTCGTCAAAAGTTTTCTAAATAGGAGGATGAGAGGATGAGGAACACTCACCTGCTCACTTAGCAAGCACCATCATCAAATGGTGATCCAGTTTCTTCTTTAAATCCATAGATCTAAAGGTTGGATAACTCGTACAACAAAAAGACAAGGTTGAGTTAGATCCAGACTTATGACACAGTTTGAGTATTCTCATTTCATATTTTTCATCTTTTAGTTTGACAACCGTTTCTTTAAACCTGACTTCTGGGTCGGCTTCCTTATGCCAATCCATTCTCAGAATCATGTCAAAAGGTAGGTTTTTTCGATGAGGAAGAATATTTCATGTAAAATCTTATTTCCTTCCTTAGTCCTGAAATAACATTTCACACGATCAACATATTAAGAGACAGTGATCATGCTCTTGTCGGCTAACATAGACGTGATAGGTCTAGGTAAATCTTTTACCTCTATTCCCAGATGCAATTTACGAATTGCCTTCTCTGAGATGTAGGACCGCGTCGATCCTGGGCTTAACAGAGCACCTAGTCGCGTATGTGGAATCTCAATATCCACGATCATCTGTTCATCCTTAGACTTAGCTTTCTTAGCCCTTGAACTCCTATTAGCTATAAGTTCAGTACCGAACTCGTCAAGGGAATCATCCAGGGAGACAAAACATAAACCAGTATTAGGGTGCTCTGGACGACTAGCTGAAGAGGAGTCATCCTCTGTCGTATGAGTCGAGGGGTTGAAAGGGGTTATTGGCGCCTTACCTTTGTTCGAACCCCTCAACTGAGTAGGAGCAGATGGTACCCCTACTGGCTGCTTCCTTTTGGGTTCCGAATGAGAGGGCACCATGCAATGATGTGCCCTACAGTGCCACATTCAAGCACTGCCTATTGTCCATTCGTTCTTGCCACTTTTCTAGTGACAGGCCCATCTTCTCCCAATGCTTTCCGACTGCAATGTCGAGCAGGGAAAGGAGCGTGGCCTCATCTTCTTCTTCCATTGATTGGTGCCACCCTTGTTGATCACCACGGCAGCGACGTCACCCTTTCAAGACCCATTGCCGCCATTACCTCCTCCCTCGGACTCGTCAACGGGTAACTTCTCCACAGTGTCGTCGTCAAAGACGACGAGCATATGGTCTTGTCACTTTTGCCGCCACAGCACCAACCGGACCACTCTTTACTACATATGCATGCGTTCCTTTGACTTGAGCAGTGATTTGCTCACGTTGAAGCGCAAGATCGCGAAATTGCCTATAATTGTACTTACCATACTTGGACTCGGCCACGGGTTGTCCGCGAATCGGTTCGGGCAATGCGCGTGAGTAGATGTACAGGACCTGGTTGTCCTGCAAGTTCAGCCCAGGTACCTGCGAGAGACGATCCACCTCACGAGACAAAACATCCACCGAAGACCAACGTTTCTTGCTAATTATGGTGAGTTCGTCAAACGCCTTATCGACCGTCGTCTTGTCAAGAAATCTCTCCTTTATTTTATGGAGAAACTGCGTGAGCGCCAGGGTCTTAGCCCCCTCACCAATATCCTCAAAGCCAGCAGCGTTGGCTTCGGACAGGACCCACTCCTTGGCCACTTCTCCCAAGCAAGATGAAAGAAGGCCACCTAACTCTCAAGTTCAACATGCGTGGTACTGCAATACGTCTGGATTTCAGCTATCCATAATAACAAATTTTCTCCCTTTTTGTTGTTGTACGTGAAAGGCAATTTCATTTTTACCTTTTCCTTTCGTTTTGGTTTTTCTACTTCCTTGGCCTGTTCTTCTTTTGTGACAGGTTCTTCTTTCTTTTCTGCCAGCTTCTTAGGTTCCCTCTCGAAACCTTCAAGTTTCTCCAACGTTACTTTTGTGCTCTTTATTGCATCCTTCATAAACTTCTCTTGGGGTTCCTTTCTTTCTCCCCCCTGGCCACCTCCTCTATCACCACCTTATCTTTGCCCTTCACCAGTATAGTCATTGTCTCAATAGCGGCGGTGTTACCATCAATCTTCAATTCAAGATGTGCGAGGTAAGCCAGTAAGTTATTCAAAACAGATGCAAGGTCATACTTTGTTCCTTCAATGTGAAATTGTTCTCTGATTTCACTCACTTTCCTCTCTTGCTGCTCTTTTTTTTTCTTCATTCTCCTATATTCTTCCATCTTCCTTCTCTCTACATTCAATGTTTCTTCCAATTGTCGAATGTTGGCCATCATAATCTCTTTAGACGATTCTGGTTCCTTTCTCTTTTCTTCCTTTTTATCTCCCCGGTTAGCTATCTCCGCCAGTTGGCCAATCACAAACTTATCGAGATCCTCGCTTCCATAATTTGAACAATCGTTTCAGCCTGTATAAGTTCTTCCTCTGCTGCTCACAGATTGAACTGGTTGCGTACGTGCTGCTCAGCATCTTCGCCCACACCGCGCAGATCTTCGACCAACTTATGGAGGCGGCCCAACGTTAGCTGATGTTTGTTCTCAACTTGCCCACCAGTCTTCAATTCACCTTCTGGTGCATCAGCGAAGAATGTGAGGCGAACAAGGAAAATAAAAGAGGAATAAAACTTGTCAAGATAGAGAGATGCAGACAATCCCAGATGAAAGACATTTTCAAGATGTGTCTACAGCACAATAAATAACTACAAGACAATAATAAATTCCATGGCCACACCCTATTTCACTCTACTACAGCAAGGAGTAAATAAACAAAATAAAGAAACAACAAATATCAATTTTCATTATTTTCTTCTAATTCTTATTTTTTTTGTTGTCTATCCTATGTATGATGACGGCCTAACGAGAGTGTACAAGTACCGCAGCCACGGCCAGTGTGATCAAGACACAACAACACAGGTGAGTATGCAAGACAACCACAGAACAACCAAGACAAGTAAGTCAGCCAACACAATCAACAACAATCAATTGTCAACATTCTTTCTTCTACTGCTGTACTATCTACAGAGCCAATGCAGGCAGACACAAGGGCCGATACGTGGCACTACAACAAATCGTGAAGTTGTACCGCCTGCCAGCACACGAGTGCAAGTATCAACACCTCACCCACAGCAATGTGCCAAGCATGCCACATGTCACCCCTAGAATGCCAACGCAACAAATGTGCCGCGTCAACGTCAAGAGCCAGCACGACCTTCTGGAGGGATGCCACGTCAGCAATGCCTGGACTGCCAACTCATCCAACACTGGTATGCAACGTCAGATCGAAGGAACACTGCTGAAGTGTGGAGCGCCACATCAGCAGGTAAGTCGTGACACAGGTACGTGCCACATCAGACAATGCCCTGCCAATAGTAGGATGCCACGTCAGCAATCTTGTGCCATGCCACGTAGGCAACGCGCCACGTCAGCAGTCCCAATATCCACTCTCTCTCTCTCTCTCTCTCTCGTCTACCAGCGCCACGTCAGCCTGCTGCCAATGATACTCTCACTGGTATCCCGACACCACATAAGCAACAAAGCGCCACGTGAGCAATGTAGCCGTCTTCCTCTTCAAAGTGTCCACGTCATCATCTTCAAGGGGGGATGCACGCACGTGTGGCACTCAATGTCTAGACTCGCGATATTAATCGCGCACGTTTATAAACGTGTTTCGTCCCTTACACGTGCCGCACCTCCCACTTACCTGGGCGCCGCGTGGCACCTGACAACAGATTGCGACAAAGAAGGTATGCTCCGATACCGAATTGTAATGAAACCAGTCTGTAAGATACTCGCCAGATGTCGACATACAAAGTAACTCAACTCTGAACAATTTCCCCAATAATCATGAATGTGATCTCTGATACAATGTCTTGTTTCCAGTAGCCGAGGAGAGTGGAGGGGGAATAGACAAAGTAGAAGGTGTAAGAGAGAGTAATCATCAATGACCACATAGAGAGTAGCCCAACATTCCCCAGTCCTCCAGGCTTCCCCTTGCCTCCACGTCAGCAGAACAGTATCCAGTAACGATCCTGACAAATCCTGATCACATTGAAGTGCCACGTGGCACACTTCTTTCGTTAAGACGTTGGAGACAGTCAATAGTGCACAGTACCAACATCAACCTCAGATAAGTATCCCGATCCTCCTCAATCATCAACAGATCCCGATCCCCCTCCTTGCCGTGTTCAGTCACCCAATGTCGACTGTGTGACCAATGCCAAATAAGCGATGAAGACAGGTGGCATGCGCCACATCAGCAATGAAGACAGGTGGCATGCACCACATCAGCAATGAAGACAGGTGGCATATGCCACATTAGCAAAGGTTGGCGCTCAGCAGAGAAGGCGCCAGCATGCTGCCTCAGTCCCGCATCGCCGTCCACAGTGCCAGCACACAGCCAGCGTCAAGCCAGCGTCCATCTAGCGTCAAGCCAGCATCAAGGCAGCATAGCAAGACTGAATGTTGACCCCCTGGAGGCAGGGTCTTATGTAGTGATTGACTGAGTTGACCTGCCTCAGGTCTCCCACCCAAGGTGGCCCAGATTGACTCACAGCCGAGGGCCTGGATTGCGTTCAGTTGCAGACTTTCACTTGGTCCTGATGCTGTCTTGGTACCTGCATACAAACAAGTGCGTGCGTCTGACCGGCGGCCTGGGCTGGGTACATACATACTTTGACTCTTTGCCCGCTGGGCAGTTGACCAAAGTCAACTGTCAGGTGCACAGGCCCTGGGTCAACAAGGGAATTTCTCCCCATGGCCTTTGCGGCCACAGACCGGGGTCGCGGCCTGTGTGTGGCCTGAGGGCCACTTCAGGGCATATCAGGCGGGGTATTGCACCATGGCCGTTGGCGCTATCATTGTTTTTTTCGACCGGCACTTGGTTTCTTTTCCGGCTTGTGTTTCTTTTGCTTATGGACGTACTTACGTCACTTTTTTTCCTTTTTTACCTTGCATTTTTAATAGGGCACATGTGTGCGCAATTGGATTTGCACATAGTGTCTACGACAGTTGGTGCGGTTGACAAGGGGCAGACCTGTTGTTCTGGGGTTATAGATGCCAGGCAGTTTCCTCTTCTGAACAAAGAGCAGTGTTTCCTTCTCACAGGTTGCTGATGAGGTGGTGAGAAGATCTGAGAGGACGGTGCAGTTTCCAATGATTGTGGTGGATTGCTCCAACATTCAGAACTGGCTATACAGCAAGGCGACATCAATAGCAGAGGCACTGATGCAACAGATACTGCACGACACAAACAATAGCAACATGGACCTTTGCAGCAGATACAAAGAGATTGAGGATCGGCTGAAAAGGTGAGAAAATATGATTGTTGCGCCTCTCTCCAGCTGTGGTTAACATGAACATGAGACCATACCGAATCAGGCCTGGACCTAGCAGAGGTCACTGTGATTTCCAGATCTGTCTTTATTACTCTGAACCAACAGGAGCTCAGAAGGGCATGGCTTGCTTTTCATTTATAAGTTATAACCTATGTGAAATCCGGTAGGGATTTTTTTTTTTTTTTAAGTAAACTCACCAGCCCTAGGTAATTCACAAGTGCCGCATGGACCCTGGGCAAGGATGTCAAACATAAATCGAGAAATGGTACAAGTGTAGTAATTCACTCATCAGATTCCAGTGGAGCTCGAAATTAGGTCTGTATTTCAACAGTTCAGGTGCGTACCAACTGAGCTAGGCCAGTTGGTACTGGTAGGGAACTTTGAGTTGGCTCCCATCCAAAATTTGTTTTAGTGTTCTACAGAAACTTCTTTCTGAAGATCTTGTTTCATTGCAACAATATAAATTCTAGAAGATGTATGCTCCCAGAGTACCAGCTATTCCAAATGGTCCATCAGTATGTTCAAATTTCAATTTGTCATATGGATTCCAGGATTGTAGCCACCTCAAGGAGCAAAGTTGCGAGGTGAATGACTAAACCAGTGAGCAACCATGCACCATCCAGATTAGCACAAGAGCACACACACGTCAGATAAACATGAGAAAAAATTACAACCACCCGCCAACGCACAGGTAATAAGAAGAAAACACAAAGATCAGCAATCAAGGAGCCAAGAGTCTAACTGCCTTAGAATTGAGTCCAGTGTTGTGTCTCCAAGTCTGAGTCCGAGTTCTGTGGTGAAAGTTACTGTCTGGGGCCAGGAGTTTTCTGAGATGTCTGTCAGGCCAAACAGTTCACGGTTTGGGGACTCAGAAATACCCCCTGGCCAGAGGAAAGACAACAGGCAGGCCCAACCTCGGGACAGTAGACCAAGCGTCAAAGCTTTTCCCAGGAATCAAATGCGGTCGAAGAACTCATACCATCTGCAATCAGGCTCACTTTCTTCTTCGCTTCGCATGCATACAAACAGATGGTGATTCACACTGGCGCATAGGGCCCAACTCAAAGCTCAGAGATATGGAAACCAAGAACACAGTTCGAATGCAAACTCGCTTCAACAGGCTATGGTGCACCAACACCTATACATCCCAACTCTCGTCACTGTGTCCAACACCACTGTTCGCTCACACTTCAACTCTGGATCACCCTGGATATCCCACACGCAMCCCACTGTACACTCGCACACTCGCACATGCCACTCTCTCTCCTATCAGCTATGGCGGCTATGGCCGCTGCCTACCCTATCGCTATGGCTAAGCTTCCTTCTCGCCCACTTCATCTTCGGGCCTACTGCAGACCACCTCGCACAAGTCGCTGTAGCATCGCCTCCGCATGGCTTACGCAGAAATGAATGAATGGCTGGGCGCTGCCTCTTGATTTATACTTCTGTAACTCGTTGGTCTGCCTCTTTCCATCGGCCCATGGTGCACGCAGTCCCTCATGGTACTTGCTGGACTGGACTGAGACTGATTGGACCAGTACCGCTGACTGCATGAGTTTGCACTGCCAACTCGATGCAGTCGCACTGCCGACGTAATGCAGTTGGGCTCCCCAGTTGCCCACTTGCCTTTGACTAAAACGTGAGACCGCTTCGAAAGGCCACTTCCGGAACTTCCTGAAGTTTGTGGACTTGGCCTTTCGGGTACTGTAGCAGCTACGACCTTGACCTTTCAGGACTGTAGCAGCTACGACCTTGACCTTTCAGAATACCTACAGCTACGACCTCTACAKAGCKGTGACCCCTACTCGACAGACCTACAGATCGAATCCCTACATCTACACAGTCCTATGACAGACAAACAACAACTAACGAAACACAGGTCACGGGTTCAACACTCAGGGGTCAACTCGATACAGTACATGGGTAAGGTAAGGTTTGGGGATCGAACCCTGGGATCTGCATCTGCCTCTGCAAAGGTGAAAACCGTTTCACTCCCGCCGGCCTAAATTCGAGATCCTCCGAGAATAACTCAGTCCAAGGCAGGACCTTTACCCTTCTTTTCTCCCTCGTAGGCTCTTAGTACATCGGCAGCTGATAATGCAGTTCAGTCCTATTAAACCAGCGATCGTCCTCAGGTTCCTGGTACGCAAATCGAACCTTATACTGCTTCTGTGGACGACCTCTACCTCCTGTTCTGAATACGTCTTCACCTACAATGCCGTCAATGTCATATCTTCCATCCATGTCCGGAGGGATCATGGGTCTTCTAGATGGAAACTGTTGGCTTGTGATACATGGTAACAACTTTGACGCATGAAACATGGGATAGGTATGGAGGTGTGCTCGAATCCCTACTGTGTAGGACGGTCCATCCTCTCCGCCCTTGACTTCTGGGACTGGCCACGGTCCTCTGTATGCTGGCAATAGTTTTTGTGAGATGTTCTCCTCAGGAGCAAATTCTTTAGACTTGACCCAGACTAAGTCGCCTACCTGAAATTGCGACGGGTGACGGTGCTTGTTGGCTTGCTTTATCATTCTATGTTGGGCCTTCCTGAGGTTCTCTACAACGGTAGCTAACTCTTTCTCGTGCTGTAATGCAAACTCCCAAGTACCGGGCGCTAGCCTGCGAATCTGATCCCGGTCAAGTCCCTCAAACGGTCTGCGTGGTCTAAAGGACTTGTGCAACTCGTTGGAAGTGCTACAGGTAGACAAGTGCACGCTGTTATTGTACGTACTGGCTACTTTGGGCAACATCTCATCCCAATTGATCTGATCCGGTCTAATGTACATACACATAAGTTGTTGCAGGATCTTGTTCATCTGTTCAGTCTGACCGTTAGTTTCAGGATGACGGCCAGATGACATCAACAACTTGGAGTCATAGACTCTCATGAAATCCTGCCAGTTCTGACTAGTGAACCGGGTGTCTCTATGACTAACTATAAACAGTGGAATCCCGTGTTCACTAACCCAATGATCAAAGAACTTCTGAATAACTAACTTTGTACGTGCCTCTGAGAGCAAAGGAACAAAAACAACATATTTATTGAATCTATCAACTATTACATGGCTACGCCGGCCCCCGACCCGGACGTTTCCAGACATGGAACCGGACCCGTGTTCGGTAGTTTCCGGATTTTCGGAATTCCGGACATTTCCGGACCTTTGGACATGAGGGGATCCGGACGGTCCGGATGTCTGGACAGGTCCGGAAATGTCCGGACCATTAAAAAAAAAAAAAAAAATCTGAAAAAAAAGTATGCTATGCAGAATAACAATGCAAACCACTTTTGCCTCAGAGTCATGTCAAAATTCCTAACCAAACTTAAGTTACAAGTCAAAAACTATAAAGAAGCTTTAAAAAAGAGTCAAAAAAAACTTTAAAAACTAATAAAAGGTAATGAATTATTAGTAATTAAAAAATTGGGGTTGTCTCATAAATTATTTTAGAGAAAGAGCATGTCCGGACCTCCCAAAAAAGCATAAACGGGCCTAAAAAAACCCCAAAACAATTTTGGGGGCTTGGCTCGTCAATGGAGAAGAATCCTGAACCGTTTTTTTTTTTTTTTTTTTTTCCTCGAATTTTTGCAGATCCGGACTGTCCAGACTGGACGTCTGGAGTCCGGACTGAATCCGTACTGTCTGGACGGCGGTCCGGACGTCCGGATCGTAGCCATGAACTATTACCATGACTTGGCTCTTGTCGTGCCTACTCTTGGCATTGGTGTCCATAAAGTCAATGGACACTGAATCTCCTGGCTAATCAGGAATAGGCAAGGGTCTGAGAAGACCTAGAGGGGCACGCGTAAAGGTCTTATTTCTCTGGTAGACCTTGCAACTGCGAACATACTCTATGCAGTCGACCTTCATCTCAGGCCATATATACACGCGCATGAGGTTAGCTAGAGTCTTTTGCCAACTAAAATGTCCCTCAGTACCGTGGCATTCCCCTAGGATCAAACCACGGATCTCTTCACTGTTAGGAACACACAATCGGTCAACTACGTTAGTGTTCTCGAATAGCAGCCCATTAGTAGTGCGGTAGTCTGGTTCGGACTCTGGGGCCTCCTTTACTCTCTTGAGGAGGTCACCATAGATAGGGTCCTGCGCATACGCCTCTCTAACTTTTTGTTGCAGGTCTCTCCCTATATCCAGATAATGAAGTATTGCTCCAAAATAATCATCTTTCCTACTCAGAGCGTCCGCAACTACATTATACTTCCCTTTGACTGGCTTCAGCTCAAAGTCATATTGATCTAACTATGCGGCCTACCTAGTGTCATCTTGGCCTGCGTCTTCACCCACCTTAATGTCTCGTGGTCTGAGTAGACTTTGAAGTGCCTCCCAAGCAAGTAGTGTTTCCAGTGTTCTAATGCTTGCCTAAGAGCGTAGAGTTCGCTCTCGTAGGTAGATGTCGCTACCTTCTCTGAAGGCATCCTAGCAGACATGAACTCTACGGGTCTATATCCGTTGCCATCGTCTTGCTGTAATACAACACCTGTACCATATTGGCTCGCGTCAGTGGTGACGACGAAATGTAAGGACGGATCGGCTACCTTAAGGACTGGGTACTCTGTCAACGCCTGCTTCAACTTCTTCATAGCAGACGTGCAGTCCTTGTCCCATCTCCAGATTGTTTCTTTCTTCAACAACCTGCGAAGGGGTGTAGCGATGGTGGAGAAGTTTCTCACAAACTTTCTGTAATAGTTAGCTAGGCCTAAGAACGACCGCAACTCTGTCAACGTGCGGGGTGTAGGTCAATCTCTAATCGCTGCGATCTTACTATCTTCTGGTTTGATGTCGTCTCCGTCTAAAACATGGCCTAAATACAGAACTTGGGTCTTTGCCTATTCACACTTCTTTGCATTGATCTTGAAGTTGGCCTCTCTCAGCTTCTCCAAGACTTGCCTCAGATGACCCTCATGCTCCTCGAGGGTCCGACTGAACACTAGAATGTCATCTAAGTAGACTAC